GATTCTGCTAAGTAGAACGCTAAGAGTGGATCAACATAACAAAGAAAGTTCATGTTTCTGGAGAGTCTGAAGGATCCAACGTTGACTCCGCCCTAATGAATTTCGAAATTCTCATCTTGGGGCTTATCATGCATTGAACTTGATTCCTCTTTCAGCACTATGAAGATAAGTTTGGTACAATCTCCTTGATATTCCCCTTAATAAAAAAACATGTTTAAGTCTAAGAATGGTGCACTCACGAACCCGTCTCCTCACAAGAAACACAAGTAGTGCGCACTCTTGAACCTGTCTCCTAACAAGGAACACAAGTAAAGAGTAGTACCACTTTTAGGCTATAAAAGAAAAGAAAGTTGATAAAAAATATAGAGATGACAACCTCAAAAGTGGAAAAAATCGACTAAGGGGAGAGAAAATAAGAGAATTATACTGAAAACTGTCTGTTTAGGAGCTTGGAAGGGAAAGAATCCGTAAGTTCTTTGATCAATATTCCCTTGATTGAGACAGAACTTAAATAACTGAAAGGGGTCAATAATGGAGAGCTCAGATTTCTCTAAGGAATGCTGAATCGTATCTGGGATGATTGCTAGACTTGCAGTCTGTATACTGACACATTATCTAAAGTTGGCTGTGTAACATGTGGGTTCAAAGGTGTTGGTCGAAAGGTGGGGTTTGAGAAGATTAATGAATTCTATGTTTTCAAACCTCTTTTCCTTACTTAGTATTTGCTTGAGGACAAGCAAAATGCTAAGTCTGAGGGAGTTGATATATTGGGTTTTTGAGGCTTTCCAACCTAAAGTTTTCAATGGTTTTTCGAGTCAAAGTGTGCTTTTAGAGTCTTTTAGTCTTTTTATCGAGTCTTTTCAGGTTTTAGATCGTTTGGGAGAAAAATAGTCATTTTGGGTGCAAACGAACATATGTGGATGCAGAACTATACAGGAACGTCTGAGGTTTGGCATTCGTTGAAGTACTTCCCACCGATGGATCGAGCTGAAATTTGGACAACAGCTACATCTTTGAGTTAGATTTCATTTGGAAGTGGTTTGAAGTCAATCCAACGGTGCGATCAAAATTTATGCCAGTTTTTGTGAAAGCAGTCTAGTCTGGCGTGCGTAGAAGGCCGAAGAACTTCCCGAGAGAAATTAGATCGATCGATCTAGATTTGGATCGATCGATCCGAAGTTCAAAAATTACCCGAGACATTTTAGATCGATCGATCCGAGGTCTTAACCAGCCAGTTTGGTCGCGCAGAAATAAGGAAACTTCGGGTTTTCCTATTCCAACTTGGTTTACGATAATTTTTCACCCAATTCGTTCCTAGACCTATAAATACTTGTTTTTCAGCCATTGTTTAGGCAAACCTCTTCTTTTACATTCATACTTTTATGTTTTGTGTTTTGTGAGCTTGGGGAGAAGAATCTCTACATCTTTTAAGAGGATTTCTGAACCCTTTTGGATTTCTTATTTATTGATTATGGATTTCTCTTCCTCTCTTTGTTGTTTCTCTGCTTTCATGTCTGAGTAGTTTCATAGTTAGGTTTAGGGTTTTCAAAGGATTCATGAATCAATGAACTAGACATAAATAGGGTTATTCATCTGCTGTCTTCACCTATTGTTGTTCTCATTGCTTAGATTAATTTGATCACTTAATCTCTGATTTAGGGTTTAATCTATTCATGAAAGTGTTTTAGATTGCTTGATAGAACATAGGTGAGCAGATTGTCCTTAGCCAATGAAAGCTGATGTTAAGGCAATCTGTGAACAAATCAAACCTGTTCATTAATGCTTGTTTAGAATTTTAAGTTCAAACGAAAGTTTAGATACTTAGGTTGCTAGACAAAGTCTTTGATGCCACGAAAGTGGATTAATTATACATTTATGTTTGAGTTCTAGATTGTTCTATAATCTGCCCTGAATAATTGTCTGGTTCTTGATCTCTGAATTCCTGCGAAATATCTAGACCTATCGCTTTCTTTTACTGTCTTTAAACCGTTTTTATTTGCTATTTTCGTTTTACATTACATTCAACAACCCATATTCTTGTCTTAGCTTAGTTTCATTCATTAAGTTTTGCAGTGTGACACTTGGTCCTTGTGGATTCGATCCCTACTCTACTACAACATTTGTTGTGCACTTGCAGTAGTTCTATAGGGTTAAAACTCTGTGTATCATTAAACAAATCAAACTCTAATAAACAAATCAAACCCTAACTCAAAGTGCGGGCATTACAATTCTATCAATCCATTTATCTAAATCAAATATGGCAAAAATGAAACTTGAAGGTTGTATAGATCACTCCAATCGTGAGTGTAATGAAGCAAGGTTTTATTGCTACACTGAATTTCCAAACAAATGAGTTTGGCATAAAAGATTTAAGAAGTGGCTCCCTCGCAACAGAAAAAACAATATTCCCTACGATATTAGCCTTCCAGAAGTCTCAGAAGAATATGGTGAATTTTTCTACCTTAAAATGTTACTACATGTTCAGAGAAGACCAGTATCTTTTGAAGATATTATGACAGTATACAGAGTTTTATATCCAACTTTCGCTGTATTTTTCAAGTCTGTCTCAAAATATAAATGAATTTTTTGTTATAACAAAATATTTAGTTAAAATTAGATCATATTTTACTATTTAATTCAAAATCTTATAATTCAAAATACTGACTTTGAATTTTACATAATACAAAAAATCAAAATATTTAAAACAGATTTAAATATTATATTTAAGTAATTACATTTTTAAAATTATTCATACCTGCACATACGTACGTACCAATATCTTAGTATTTCATTAAACTACATTGTTAGGTAGAGGATAATAATTTTTAACATATGATTCTTGTGGTGCTGGTATATAATAGTTTTTGACTTTTGTCCTCCATTTTCTCTTTTATTTATATAGGAGTTGGAAAAAATTGAACAACCGGAAAAATGAACCAACACAAGACCTGGTTAAGTCAAAAGTTGAATAAATCATTGAGCCAAAGTTTATAACATAGAAATGCAAAACATAAACTAAAACCAATATAAAAAGAGTTGTGGCCATAATCTACATTTTCAATTGCTGTTTTATAAAGTTTCATTAATCAATAATCAAATATGGTGGCTATATCTTAAAAGCCCATTTAAAACCCTAAAAGCCCATCGCTCAACTCTTAAATCGTCGTCCATCGATTCGTGAAGGAGACTACAACAATAACGCAAAGCAATGGGAAAAGCTTCGGCCGCGAAACAGGCGACTGTAGTAGTCGCAGCGTTGACGTTTGGATGGTTAGCGATAGAGATGGCCTTCAAGCCTTTCCTCGACAAATTACGCTCCTCTATTGACAAATCCGATCCGGCCAAAGACCCCGATGACGCCGATACAGACGCCGCCGCCTTCGCCGCCGCTACCGCTGCGACGTCGTCCGTCGAGGGTGTGTAGACTAGGGTTTTATTTTTATCAGGTTAAAGAGTGTTGCTGATTTCAAGCCATATCTGTTCCAGTTTCGTTCGTGTACTGATGAACCGTTGTCTTTAATTTTGATTCAACTTGAACCATATCTGTTCCAGTTTCGTTCGTGTACTGATGAATCCTTGTCTTTAATTTTTTATTCAACTTGAACCATATCTTGCATAATTTTTACTCATCTCAATTTTCGAAATACTGCTATCTTGAATCTATTGTACTTTTTTTGTTTTCAACTCTTGAATCTATTGTATCAATTGGCAAATTGATAATAACTAAATTTCATAGTTTGAGCCTTTTGGGTATAAATATATAAAAGAAGCATGTTGATTCATCTTGAGGAAAATATTAAACTTGACAATTACGAAAGATTGCTTTAGATGGCAATTAAGGAGGGTCTCTATATGCAGAGGGAGACTATAACTTAAAAGGTCATGGAGATTTTAACTTTGACTGTGTTAGATTGAATGACTTAACATCTGTAGTACCAAAAAAAACAAAACTTGATTTGTCCCAACACCTTTGTATTCGTCAGTGACGTATACGTTCTCTCAAAAAGCTTTGATTTGCATTTTGTTTTGTCCTTCACCGAGCCCAAACAATGATAAAAAGACAGTGAAGGAACTTTCCTCTGTTTTTTCTTTAATTGATTTGAAGTCTGGTGAAATTTAACAAAAAAAAAGATGATGAAAAAAAGTAAGGAGACTTGGGGACGACGACTAAAATCATATATAACGAAAGCACCAGACTTATGCTAGAACTAACTTCACTGTTGTACTTTCAAAGAGGGATGATGTTGAAGAAAATATATAACCTGATGATTACAATAGTGCTTTAGATTGTAAACTCTAGAACGATCATTGTTCAGATTTGTGATTAATCATTGTTGTTGCAAGAGTGTTCAATACATGATTTAGCGTTTATCTTGCAATGCCCCAGTTTATACTCTCAGTCTAATGTGTCCCATAACCGAGCCCATGACAGTGATAATAAAAAAGATGAGATGGACCTTTCACTCCTTATAATTAAAGTTATAACCCTATTCAACCAAACAGTAAATTACAAAATCATAACAAGGATCTATATATCTTCAGAGATAGAGAGAGACCGCAACTTTAAAGTGTGGTCAAGTGACTCAAGTCATGGTGAGTCTTAAGTTGTAAGACTTACATGGGCCACAATCACTTAACGTTAGCCAAAAAGCTAATTAGTTAATTACCTTGAATGCTATGCCCCCCCCCCTCCCCAAAAAAAAGAAAACCTCAATGTCTGAAGCATATATTGCAAATCAGTCACATAGGCTCTTGCCACAATTCATTGCATATCAAAACTTGCAAGCATCATTTATGTTACTGGGGAGTTATCAAATGCCATGATTTGCATCTTCTACTCTATTTTGTCCTTACACAGTGCTCAACACAATGATTAAAGAATGAAGTGGAGGACCATTGCGTGTATTTCTTTTATTAAATTTTTTTTTTAAAAATATTAATACAGAAAAATTATAAAACCAAAAAATGATAAAGAAAGAGACTAAGAGAAGACGACCCTACAAAAGCCAAGAACCAAGAAAGTACATAGGAAAGACGCAGGAAATTATATGGAGGACTTGCGATAAAATTTCCTTAGTAATTTTATATAAAGAGAGCATCTAACTAACAACACAAAAACCTCGACTATATGGAGGACTTGCGATAAAATTTCGTTAAATTTTATTTGTTATAAAGAGAGACTTTAACAACACAAAAACCTCGGCTACTACTGGTACGAGTGGTCGAATCGAGTCATGGAAGAGTGCCGATTCGAGACGAGCGAGTTACAGGCTTCCTTCGTGATGTCGACTCCTTTATGGTCCGATTCATGGACTTTGTGCAACGCCGCTAACTGCGCCGGGAGTATTCAGATCCAGCACATGGCCGGAATCATGTACGTTGCTTTACCGGCGGTGGAGATGATTCTACTAGGGGATCTTGTGGGCTTAGAAGTCGCCGGAAATGGTCTTTTCTCGGCCTTGTCCACATCATTAGCCCCCGGCGAGCCTCCGCCTATGGTCGACACTGCCATACTTAAACTTTTCGTCCCCTTGCTTCCCCATATTCAACCGCAGGTTTGTGTTTTTTTTCTCTTTTTACCCTTTTTTTTGTTTATTCTCATGAATGTGATGCAATACAGGAATATTAGTATTTTACGTATATAGTAGTATTATTCTCCATATAAATGAGTTTCCCATTAAGCGTTGACGAAAACAGATTTAATGAATAATGCTATTATGCTATTCGACCACAAAAGGGAAGAAGAAAAAACACAAACTATCTGTTAATTCGTTTTGATTTGTGAGAAAACGGAATTATCTTGAATTAACTCTACTGTCATATTGGTAAAGAGTAGTAAAAAGATGACGAACGCATTAATATATTTTTATATTTTGTTATCTCAGTCTTTCTTAACCAAAATAAAAAAAAGTGTCTTTTTCAGAATATCACCACCAACCCCTACGGCTATATGCAATAGACAATTTAGATAAATGAGTAGATAATATTTTTTTATTAGAAATCCTGAAAGATTCGTAAATAAAATAATTTCCACCATGTAGTATATAATCATATGATAACATGACTGACATTGTCGTGACATCGGATATGATAAGCAAGTGAAATTGAATTTTGGTTTGGATACCACGTCCGCCCAATAGTTTTAAAAAAATGATTAAAGGCTGAGTTAAATGTTAATGGTAGATCTACTTTGCTCACACACACCTATGCCAAGTTTTGCAAGATACCTTAATCTAATTGCTTTTAGTATTGATGAGTAGTGAGCATACCACCAAACCAAGAACTTAACCATTTCTAGAGACTGAAGAACTGTCTTATCCGGTTTTTATTCGATTTCAGTTTGGATTTTTGTTTTACGATTTTTTTCGATTTATGAATATATAAGCTGATTGCATGCCGAAGATCATTCGGTTCATTTTATACCATTTCTGTTCGAAATCAGTTTTTAAGGAAAAAAAATTGGATTTACTTTTCTTTTTTTTTAAAACTAGGATTGAGTAGTTTATGTTTTCTGGTTTTGGTTATGGTTTGTTTAGATATGTAAAAACCTAACCAAGTCGGTTTCCTTTGGTTCATCTACTCTGATTCACATAACACTGAGTAGCTAATCACTAGCTATAATAAGATTAGTTCCTGCTAATCTCCGATTAATCAACCAAATTTAGTGCAACAACATGTAACTTTATAAACGTAATAGATCAAAGAAGGAATGGAACTAGAAGGAAGAAAGAAGTTGGTAATAACCGGACATTCAACAGGCGGCGCATTGGCCGCACTCACCGCACTTTGGCTCCTCTCCCACCCTTCGCCGCCGTCATTCAGCCTCCTCTGCATCACCTTCGGCTCTCCTTTGCTCGGAAACCAATCTCTCTCTTCCTCAATCTCCAGATCACGTTTAGCACACAACTTCTGCCACGTGGTCTCCGTCCACGACCTCGTTCCTAGAAGAAACGATGATCGGTTCTGGCCCTTTGGAACCTATCTCTTCTGTTCCGACAACGGAGGTGTCTGCTTAGACAATGCTGCTTCAGTTCGTAGGATGTTTCTTATACTCAACTCGACAGGAACTCCAAACATCGAGGAACATCAAAGGTACGGACATTACGTGTCAACACTCTCGCACCAGTTTCTCATATCTAGAAGCTTTCGTGGTGGGAACATCTCAGAAAACAGCTACGAAGCTGGTGTCGCATTAGCCGTAGAATCTCTAGGATTCTCCAATGATCAGCCAAGTGGTGTATCAGCGAGAGAATGCATCAAAACAGCTACAACAATAAGTCGTGCTCCGATTCTGAGGTCGAGTGAGTTAGCTACTGAGCTTGCAAACGTCTTGCCATCAAGACTAGAGATTCAATGGTACAAAGACAGTTGCGACGCGTCACCGAAGCAGCTCGGTTACTACGATAACTTCAAACTGTTTTCAATGAAAAGAGAGATAAGGGTGAACATGAGTCGAGCAAAGCTAGCTAAGTTTTGGGACGGTGTGCTCGAAATGGTGGAGAAGAATGAGTTACCTTTTGATTTTCACCTCGGAAAGAAATGGGTCTACGCATCGCAGTTTTACCAACTCTTAGCCGAACCACTTGACATTGCCTACTTCTACAAGTACACCTATTCAAGGACTAGTGGTCATTACTTGGAGAATGGGAATAGGCACAAAAGGTATGAAGTGATTGATAAGTGGTGGAAACGAAGCGGAGAGCCTCTTGCAGAGAAGTGTGTGAGAACTCGATATACGAGCACTACGCAGGATACTTGCTTTTGGGCTAAGCTTGAGGAAGCAAAAGAGTGGTTGGGTGAGATGAGAAACGAGAGTAGCGATGCGCAGAGGCGAGCTTTGTTATGGCAAAAGATTCTTGGATTTGAGAGCTATGCGGATACATTGGTGAGGATGAAGGAAGTGTCGAAAGATGTTTTGGCGAAGAACTCGAGTTACAGTGTGTGGATGGAGAATCTGAGAGAGTTCAAGTTCAGAATGGGTAATGGACTTGAGATGGTTGTTGATGCCATTGACGCAATGGAGACCTAGTAGGATTGATAGCAAATCTAATTTAATTATGGTATGCTATTTAACGATCTTTATATCATTGTTGTTCATCATGTTTATCCAAGACTTCTGATGCATGCTACAATTCTAAAACAATCTTCATTGTTATGTTCAACAACTTTCTGCAAGGGTTTATAATGTAAGCTGTTACCCCAAAACCAAGATGGATGTTTAATATTCTGCACGTAGTATAAGATAATTAAGCTAATTTTCAAGAGAACCTTTATTATTACTCTTTATATTCTATAATATAAATTGTTTTAGATGTTTTGGTTTGTTTCAACATATAAGTTTTTCTCATGGATTTTATACGTATTGGATAGTGTGTGATCAATTATAATTTTTCCTGATTGCTTTACTTATATTTAACTAATATATATTTAAAGATATATTTTTTAAAAAATATACTTTTTAATATTTATGCATTCACATAAAATAATTTATATTTGAAATAGAAGATTTTTTGGTTAATTATTTTCAAGAGGCCTTAAAAAAAGTACATAGAAAAACGTTGAGACCCACACATAGGATTCTTGGAGATTGCTATAAAACACATGATCCAAGAAGCTCTTTTCCCATTCAGATTTTCTTTTCCAAAGTACTCTTTTCTTGTGGGTAAAATACTAAATAATCAAATAAATTCAAGTCAAAGTATACAAATAGAGATCTCCTTGTTCTACAAAACTTTGTGCTTTCTTGTTTCACCTTCTCCCCTTAGTTTCTATTCCTAGATCGTTACGCATACCTTACATAACATTTTCATACTACAATGATATGACCCGCACATACACAAGTTCCGATTCTTGACGGCTTTGACCAAATCTTCATCGTCCTAGCGAATTGTGATGTGAATAGAAAAATTCACATAGATTACTTGTGGTTAATTGCTACCATTGTTGATACAAGAACCATGCATTTGTTTTAATTTAATGTGAATACACTTTCTATCGTATCTATATAGAATATGTATAGTGTATAGCAATCGTGCAGCCTCCATTAACCAAGCCGTACAAATAGCTGAATGTACACCAATTAACCCATCTCTGCCAAGAGGCCATAGGCTTCTTAGTTCGCTTCGAAACAATCTCCAAGGATGTTGAATAATCAACCATTTTCTAATTGATATTATATAGTAATATATTTAAACATATCAAAGATTCAAAACCCTTAAACCTGTCTCCCCCAAGAAGCAACAGTAAGTGCACCCTTACGAGGCAATTGCTCCCCCACACTTCCTCCACTCTCCAGCCCCCACGTGTCACACCCTCTCCACATGCACAAACTCACACACACATTCATGCATGCGTATATAACACATTCTTGTTCCGTGAGAGAGTAGCGAAGAGAGAGAGAGAGAGAGAGATATGGAGAGAACAGAGGCTGTGACGTCATCGTTTATATGGCGGCCAAACGCAAACGGAAACGCGGAGATAACGCCGAGTTGTCCAAGATGTGGATCCTCCAGCACAAAGTTCTGCTACTACAACAACTACAGCCTCACTCAGCCTCGCTACTTCTGCAAAGGCTGCCGCAGGTATTGGACCAAAGGCGGGTCCCTCCGCAACGTGCCCGTAGGTGGTGGCTGCCGCAAGTCCCGCCGCCCCAAATCCTCCTCGAGTAACGCTAAAACCGGTCTAACCGCTAATTCCTGCAGCTCCGGTGGTGGTGGCTCACCAAGCATCGATCTTGCGCTTGTTTACGCCAATTTCTTGAAACCAAAGCTTGACGAAACGACACTACAAGAAAACTGCAATTTAGCCACTGTGGCCACCACAGATTTTTTGGTCGATAATCCTACGGGCGCTTCGATGGGACCCTCATGGAGTATGAACATCAATGATGGTCACCATCATCATCACTATGGTCATCAAATGGAAACAGCTGTAGAAGAACTATGTGGTTATAATGGATTGCCTCCGTTTCCTGGTGAAGAGCTTTTTTCTGTCGACACTAATGGTGTTTGGTCTGATGCTTTGTTGGTTGGTCACAACCATGTAGACGCTGGTGGTGTGACTCCGGTTCAGGCTGTTCACGAACCGGTGGTTCATTTTGCTGACGAATCCAGTGACTCCACCAACCTCTTGTTCGGAAGTTGGAGTCCTTTTGATTTTACAGCCAATGGATGATCCTCATTTGCATGAAAAGGAATTTGTATTGTACCTATTATATATACATATATGATAATACACAATTATTAGAAATCTTATGGATCATTTCGTGTAATTAAGAGAGTCGATAATTACAAGAACAAAATTAATGGCCAATATACATAGGCTAATAGTATATAATTTTGTTTTTGGTGATTGTCGACCTACAGTATATAATGTTATAATTAGTCATTTTTCAAGATTTGCCCAAGAATCCCACGTGGGAGGTCCTTGTCTTTGGATTCAATAGAGATTTGCTTGTTACTTGAACTTGCAATTCACTGAAAGTGAGATGCACGTGTGGGCTTTTGTAGTATCTCTGGCATCTGTTTGTGTAGATCCTTCTCCAAACGGGAGTGTCAGAGAAAGAGCATAATTGTTCCTACTTTTGATTTAAGTTTCAACTCCTTTCTACATTTAATTAAGCTTTTACACATTTATATTGATAATGAAACAACAAAACTGCGAACCAAGTCAGGATAATCTTGTTAACATGTGATTTGTCACAAGACACAAGTTTTTTCTTTTGTTAAAGAACAAGTTGGCTCGTCTAATCGTAATTGAAACTATATGAATTGAATTTTGTTTTGCTCTAACATGCTATAGCTCATATGAGTACAGAGGACTAATTAACTCTCATATTCCAATTCATATTAATTAAAAACAAATTCTCATCAAGATCGAACGAAGAAAGACCCTCGCCACCATAACACCGACCTCCTTCAGCAGCATTTTAGTGTTTTTAATCGTTTTGTGTCTACTTTTCGCAAAAGTTTAGTTACTTAATACTTGTAAACTAGTATATATTAGCGTCCTTAAAAGAGAATTAGATTGTTTAAAGAGAAAAAGAGAGCTCACGAAAAAGAGAGAAAAGGACTAAAGGAGAATGTATGGAGGAAGTTGTTTGAAAAACAAAACAAAAAAAAAAACTTACGGAAATTGTGTTCAGAGGCAAAGGAGTTAACTTGGAAAGTTGTTTATTATCGAGTTTCGCGCGTCACACACGTTCCCAGAAATCTCCACTTGATCCAAGAAAATACTAGTAAAGTCTTACTCCTTGATATTACTTGAATAAAATTGTCCAAATAAAATTTCATTTGTTTCTAATATAACTATTTAAAAAACATTCCACAAAAATTAAAAACCACTAATATTGATTCATAAATACATCATTTTACCTATAAGCTAATAGTAATTCATTAAATTTAAATATTATTATTTAATATTTTTCTAAATTTAAAAGTATTAACATAATTAATAAGAATGAATTAAGTTTCTGAATTTGTAAGGAAAGTTAAGAACAGAACATCAGATATTACATGTCAAGTCTAATTCAAGTACAAGACGAGTTATTCTGTAATTTATAAATAATTTTTTGATATTTAAAACTTTTTTATTTAATAATTTTATATAGTTAAATTAAAAATATACGTCTCTCACTAATTTAATGCTTGTCGCAATTATAGTATCAATTACGAAATTTTCTAAATGTTTTTATATGATATTATGTATGCATATGTTAATAACAGATATGTGTATACAAACGTGTATTAAAAACAAATTTTTTGACAAATATTTCTTTTCTTATCAATCGTTGATATTCTCCCCATACCGTTTAACTACAACTGCAAGTGGTGGTCGAAGGAGGACCAATTTTTGTAGTTCTTAAAGCTCATTTTAGATTGCGACATGGTTGCTCGTAAGATCTGACTTTTGATTCATGGCATTTATTGTATGCAATTAAAAATAAAGTATCTAAAAAATAAAAATAAAAAAATATCTAAAAAATACAACTAAAAATAAAGTATTGATCGTGATATATAATAGTATATATATTGAGAATGGCGGTCAATAGACTCAATACTCAGCTGATGTTGTATTTTTCCTTTCTAATCGGGTACTTATAAACGGATCTAATAATTTTGGTGCTTAGATAATTTAGAATAGTTAAAAAGAGGCATCTTCACGATGATACAGTTTGATATTTAATTTGGACTCGCATGAACAATCCTTAATTGCAAAAGCACTGTGCAAATAGATCACCACCATGACTGGTCATGTGTGTTAACAACTTTTATTCAATCTTAACATAAGCTGTTGTTTTTTATGCCTATCAACTTCTAGTAGTAGCCTCTTTTATACGGTTTTTTTCTTCTTTTATATGTTTTGCATGAGTGAAACACATAACAAATATCATTTGGCATCTACAAAAACAGATTACAAAACTCAATATTTTTCTTGAACTGATGAAAGCATGATACATGCGTCGAAGTCGATATACAATGGAATCCATACATAAACAGCCAATAGTGGGGTTGGAGAGTTAATAAAGATGTTAACATACGGACATAAACATTCGCATATTTACTTCGACGGACATAAATGGTCAGAAACGTTACACATGATGCATCCACGTCTCTTAAAATAACTATGATGTAATCTTTTAGGCTATCCTTTCTCTTTTCAGGTTATCCACTCAAAAAAAAAATAAAAAAATTGAGAAGTTGAAAGAGATATGTTCTCCATTATTTTTGTGGGAAATGAACAAAACAGGAAAAAAATACAAATAAAGAGCATTTAACAATAATGAACAAGCAAGTGGGAACAATAGCCATGTAACTTGTGATTCCATTTATTTCTTTGCAGTTTCTATCATAGTTTTATGAAAAATTTCCACTGTTATCTACATGATGACGAACATATGAAAGATATTATAACGAACAAAAAAATAAATAGAAAATCTGAATTTGAGCAAAATAAACCACTCTATTTTTGTTTTTAAATGAACTTATGCGAAGGTTAACTCTCAAAGAATTATTTGAATCTGATGAGAATTAATCAAACATGTACGTTGTTATATATTGCTGTTCAAGCAGGATACGAAGCATACAAATTTCTTGGGACGCAAGGTGACTCCCTCCAAACCCTAGCGTGAAGCTTAAGCAATTCCTTTGCCTTCTCTTTAGTCTTGTTCCCACAACTAACTTGAAGCACCAGACACAACTTTGCTACAACTCCCAATTGCAACATCTCCTGCAACAAACACGGTGTCGCGCAAAACCTCCCAATGGAAA